GTCGCCACGAAGATAAATATGTGCAGTTTCCTGCAGCCTGCATTATGACATCTTTTACAATTCTTCTCCTGAAAATATTGCCTGTGTGGTGTACCCCTTATTCTGTTTAGAAAGGATACACTCTAGTATCCATCGTGTTTGGGTAAATGCACTTGCATCAGTATTCACATCAGCCATTATCAATGGTGTTTATCTGTACTAACTTGAATCTTTAATATGTACTATTTCAAGAAAGTCCAATCTACCAGTCTTCCTGAATGCAGGGATCTACCATCATTGCTTTGCGCCCAACCCTTCATCATTTCCGAATGTAGATGTCTTCAAATAATGTGACGTCCATTTTCCCATTTGCAGAGTCGTATAATCTGTTCGTTCACTGATACCCATCTCTGGGGCGGTTGATGTGATATTTAGGCGATATATAAGTAGGTGGTTTTATAACAGAACATTTAAAATAGCAGCATACTAAAGCATTTTGAAATAATAAAAGACATATTGTATGGCAAGCACCCAGTGTTCAGTCTTCTTCAGAATGACAGAAAACTGGTCAACGTGACATGATATGTATTCACAACTGATCGAGGAATGAACTTTTCAATTACTAAGATTGTGGATAATGGACATAAATAGCATGACTTTTGATGCAAACTGATGAAGAAACGTTACCAAACTGAAATTTGGACACGTTGGATCCAAAGCCAGAATAGTGATACAAAATGGTAAGAATCAATGGCCCAAACAATTTACTGAGTAATGCACGTGCTACGGTATCCAGATCAAGGGAACGTGAGTTTTTAGTGAAACTTGGCTGCACTAACAGCATGCCAACGTACATAGATATGGATATAAAAATAAAGATGTACTGTTCATTTACAATCAAACTGTTGGACAGGGGCATGGGAAGATTACGCTTTAACAGCAAGAACAAGCTGTTGCTCTGATATAGACATCAAGGAGCAACGCATGACCAGGGAGGTTTGGCTGTTGACGAACGATAGTCACCAGGCCATATTGCTGTCGATACTTTTTTAGATGATGAGATTTATTTTCAAGCAGTTATCAGAAAATTCTACCCCCTACCCCCTACCCCCTACCCCCTCCTCTCCCAAATACACACACATACTTCGCCAGCCGCCAGAAATCCAACTGTCCACCCCCTATAATCAATGTGATTGTCATCTGCAGTGACCCACCATTAGTCGGCCGACCCGCATCTCTGCCTCGCGTATGACCGACCTCACTACCTCACTACAACCGCCCCCCCCCCCCCCCCCCACCTCACTACTACCGCCCCCCCCCCCCCCCCCCCCCCCCCCCGTGATATCATTCTTGTCGATAACTGTATCTCCGCCCTTTGACATGGTGTTGCCTTCTGTATGATCTACAACAAATAGTCGGTCCGTGGTGTACATGTCTCCTTGGTTACAACCAGAAAATCTGCTGCTGGCGATTGCACGGTGCCAACTCAGTGGATAAATTGTTATCATGTAAGACAACGTGAACGTTCCATAATACCAAACGCGATACACAAAGTAGCATTCCGATTGCAACATGTCTATTCAGTCCTTTAAAAAACGAGATAGAATGGCAGAACTAATTTATTTAGTATCGTTTCTTTCCAAGTATATTTCTTCAACCACTGTAGATAATAATGATAGGTTCGGATTATACAAATAGTTGAGACAATGAGACACATGTACATGTATCGGGAAATTGATTGCATCTCACCAGGACTGAAACATTGTCTGTCATACTGCTACAATCCCGAGTCATGTGTCAACTATCTTCAAAACCAGCTAGCTCAACAGTCAATACTCTTAAAGGTAAATTAAACACCTCCACTCAATAAAATCAGAAGAGAGCTATTGAAGCATTACAGCATCGTTAAAGAGAATGTACATGTTAGCGTACTCACCGGTCCTGGTGATGTAAATGTATTTGTTTAGGTCGACGCTGTCCTGCTTTATATACTGACCGAACACTCGAGAACATTCAACACTTATTTAGGTTTGGGCTAGGAGGTAACTCCATGTTATATTATAGGATCCGTAATCCAACTGTGTTGCCTGTGTGTAGTCAAGCACGAACAATGTCATTTACCACGTAGAGCACCATATCGAGTTTAAATAATAATGCAGTGTGCCCTACCCTAACAAGTTGTGACCTCCAGCAAGGCTGCTGATTACAGTATCGTTAAAGAGAATGTACATGTTAGCGTTCTCACCTGTCCTGCCATGCATTCAGTCTTAGTCAAGGCATTCTAGAACAATCAACACTGCTATAGGTACGAGTAAGACGATGACGTCATGTTATATTGCAGGAGCACGTCGCAGTTCTGGAAACCATACAAATTAATCCGAGATTGGCAGCCAGGTGTAGTCAGGCACGAACAATGTCATTTACCACGTACACTTCTAATTATAGAGATTCGTAAACAAAGTTGTGTGCTCGACACGCACACGCTGTGGACCTTCAGTGGGACTGTTAATCTGTTTAGATATTGTTATAGTTCAATACTTCTTTATGGGCGACAAGTCCCTGTCCCCCGTTCACCTGTTCCCCCATTCTCAAGTTGCGTTTGCTTTTGACAAATCATTCGTTTTACCCATTTGTCGGATGTAGACACGTGCTTCGTTTGAGTTGTCTTAAAAGTTACAAGTTGTTTACATGAACCGTTTTGTGCACAAGTTATCACTACTTAGACCGCCCTCAACAACAGACTTACTCTCCTCGTTTGAACCTGTTCTAAATAATCTTGTTTTAATTCTCGATCACCATGTCCTAATGTTGTACGTATCAGTTTATGGGTTTTGAGACATGAGAAATGGGGTTACAAGTTGTCTGAACTCTTAATGTAGCTGCTATTTTTTAAATTAAGTTACTGCATTTACACATGTATGCCTCTTTTGTTACTTTCATCACTGATTTTCAGTGCCCCATTCATATTATTTTGCCGCTATTTCCACTCTCACGTATAAGTCATGAGTTGAAGACATGACTGTTACCAAGATGATCTTGATGTTGCCACACTGTATTTATCTCTTTCAGGAACCCCTTGCTCAGTAACAGACAATGTTCAACACAACATTGTTTGCAAGATGTATAATATTATTTGAAGTGAAGTATGCAATATGACAGACTGACATGTGTAACAATGTAACTGAATACTGTTACCTTGTGTCAAAGCTGTTACTACCAAGATATATGCATATACTTATACACTATATTTTTTATATTTTATTTGTATGATATTGTTTATACGAAACAGCATAATAATGTAAGTTACTTTCATTGTTGAAATAACCAAACATAATGTATTGGTAGTTTTTGTAATGACATTATTTAACTTACTGTTATGTATGTTAAGTGTACAAACAATTTCAGCATAAAATGTTGCATTAGCTAACATTGCGTGCGTCAGATATTGCTACATGTTTGTGAACATGTCATGTTGTCAAAGAACGATCTGCATGTCTCTGGTTGAAACCAAAACCACAGCAGTACCTGCACGTGAAGCATTCAAACTTCAGACAAAACCACAGCAGTACCTGTACGTGAAGAATACAGACTTCACGACAAAACCACAGCAGTAGCTGTTCATGAAGAATAAAAACTTCACAACAAAACCACAGCAGTACCTGTACGTTAAGCATACAGACTTCATGACAAAACCACAGCAGTACCTGTACGTGAGGCATACAAACTTCAAAACAAAACCACAGCAGTACCTCTACGTGAAGCATACAGACTCATCAATGAAACCACAGCAGTACATATACGGGAAGCATACAGACATCACAACAAAACCACAGCAGTACCTCTACGTGAAGCATACAAACTTCAAAACAAAACCACAGCAGTACCTGTACGTGAAGCATACAGACTTCACGACATAACCACAGCAGTACCTGTACGTGAAGCATACAGACTTCACGACAAAACCACAGCAGTACCTGTACGTGAAGCATACAGACTTCATGACAAAACCACAGCAGTACCTGTACATGACGCATACAGACTTCACAACAAAACCACAGCAGTAGCTCTACGTGAAGCATGCAGACTTATCGACGGAACCACAGCAGTACTTCTACATGAAGCATACAGACTTCACGACAAAACCACAGCAGTACCTGTACGTGAAGCATACAAACTTCAAAAACAAAACCACAGCAGTACCTCTATATGAAGCATACAAACTTCACGACAAAACCACAGCAGTACCTGTACGTGAAGCATACAAACTTCAAAACAAAACCACAGCAGTACCTCTTTATGAAGCTTAGAAACTTCAAGACAAAACCACAGCAGTACCTCTACGTGAAGCATACAAACTTCAAGACAAAACCACAGCAGTACCTGTACGTGAAGCATACAAACTTCAAGACAAAACCACAGCAGTACCTCTACGTGAAGCATACAAACTTCAAGACAAAACCACAGCAGTACTTCTACATGAAGCATACAGACTTCACGACAAAACCACAGCAATACCTCTACGTGAAGCATACAGACTTTACGACAAAACCACAGCAGTACCTGTACGTGAAGCATACAGACTTCACGACAAAACCACAGCAGTACCTCTATATGAAGGATACAGACTTCACGACAAAACCACAGCAGTACCTCTACGTGAAGCATACAAACTTCTATCTAGAGTGTAGATATCGCTTGATCTAATCCAAGCGATATCTCCTCTGGGAGCCAGTTTTGGATGATAAATTATATTTTTATATTTAAAAAATGCAAACGATGATTTATATGAGAACTGGGGTGTTCAAAATCATCAACATCAAGGTTTTTATACTAAATGCTCAATGAACGTTTTCACAAGGGTTTCCTCCCCTGAATACTCATTACGTACGTTTAGGCTACCTTGATGACATAAGAACATTGTTTGTCAAGAACACCCCTTCCGTGACTGTCTTCTAAACAATTCAGCATATGATATCCACCTGTCCAGGCATGCACGACTTCATAGACAACCCCAAATTAAATAGGTCAAATTTTATTTATTATATCCGATGGTGGTATCAGATGGTGGTAGGCTGATTGGTTCTGTGTATCAGATGGTGGTCGGCTTATTGGAGCTGTGTATCAGATGGTGGTCGGCTGATTGGTTCTGTGTATCGGATGGTGGTCGTCTGACTGATTCCGTGTATCAGATGGTGGTAGGCTTATTGGTTCTGTGTATCAGATGGTGGTCGGCTGATTGATTCTGTGTATGAGATGGTGGTAGGCTTATTGGAGCTGTGTATCAGATGGTGGTAGGCTGATTGGTTCTGTGTATCAGATGGCGGTCGGTTGCTTTGTTCTGTGTATCAGATGGTGGTAGGCTGATTGGTTCTGTGGATCAGATGGTGGTAGGCCAATTGGTTCTGTGTATCAGATGGTGGTAGACTTATTGGAGCTGTGTATCAGATGGTGGTAGACTTATTGGAGCTGTGTATCAGATGGTGGTAGGCTTATTGGAGCTGTGTATCAGATGGTGGTAGGCTGATTGGTTCTGTGTATAAGATGGTGGTAGGCTGATTGGTTCTGTGTATCAGATGACGGTAGGCTGATTGGTGCTGTGTATCAGATGGTGGTAGACTTATTGGAGCTGTGTATCAGATGGTGGTCGGCTGCTTGGTTCTGTGTATCCGATGCTCGTAAGCTGTTTGGTCTATGCTTCAGGTTCTGGTAGAATTCCGTGTGCTAATGTCCAGTCATTTATAACTTAGGCTGTCATTTTGCTTGCCTGCAATAAAAAGTATAAACATGATGCAAAACACCTCATCATCATGTGAACAGATAATAACAAATGTTATATATGGATTGTCATGATTACAATTGTCAGAGTGTCGTACGCAAACCTCATAAGCTTTGCCATTACTGTGAAATATTGCTTTTGTGACTTGTTGGACGCCTAAAACACCAATGGTCTCCAATGGTCAACTTTTCCTTTATTTCGAGGAATATTCCAGCAGCTCCAGGCTTTTGTGTTTACATTTCATACCTTTGAGGTACAATTGAGCTTGCTCCTGCTATGATGATTTCAAAGAGCGTCATACGACTCTTACGCTAACGTTGTTTGATGGAGGTTACAACATTAAAGGCCTCAGTAAAGCTTTGTGAAGTGAAGTTTTATGGTAGACATGTTGAGATCATTTCGATATTTGACGCATCTGTGACAAAAAACGATGACCGATGCAATTTCCTATTTTAACATGTACCATATGTTCTTGTGTTTTTAGGTGAACAATTGACTTGCCTTTGCATGTGTTTGTGACGGACGCCACCGGTGAGGCATGATACACTCAACCTTTCACGGACACCTGCTATCATCACTATTTGATAAGTGCTTCATAAATACATGCTTATGATATAGTCAGAATCGCACAATCTACCCTGCTTTTAGCCGATATTTCTTATAATTATCAAAAGTGTTTTTTGTAGCTTTTATTTATTTTCAATACTTATGTGAACTTCAGCCTATACATTGTTTGCCAACACAGCTTCAACTGGTCACTTACCCACGTGTACAACCAACTCGTCACTTACCCACGTGTATAGCCAGCTGGTCACTTACTAACGTGTATGGCCAAATGGTCACTTACCCACGTGTATAGCGAGCTGGTCACTTACTAACGTGTATGGCCAGCTGGTCACTTACCCATGTGTATAGCCAACTAGTCACTTACCCACGTGTATAGCCGACTGGTCACTTACTAACGTGTATGGCCAGCTGGTCACTTACCCACGTGTATAGCCAGCTGGTCACTTACCCACGTGTATAGCCAACTAGTCACTTACCCACGTGTATAGCCAGCTGGTCACTTACTAACGTGTATGGCCAGCTGGTCACTTACCCACGTGTATAGCCAACTAGTCACTTACCCACGTGTATAGCCAGCTGGTCACTTACCCACGTGTATGTCCAAATGGTCACTTACCCACGTGTATAGCCAGCTGGTCACTTACTAACGTGTATAGCCAGCTGGTCACTTACCCACGTGTATAGCCAGCTGGTCACTTACTAACGTGTATAGCCAGCTGGTCACTTACCCACGTGTATAGCCAGCTGGTCACTTACTACCGTGTATAGCCAGCTGGTCACTTACCCACGTGTATAGCCAGCTGGTCACTTACCCACGTGTATAGCCAGCCGGTCACTTACCCACGTGTATAGTCCGGCTGAAGCTGAGCACACGCACATTGCCCTCTCCACTGAGTACTCTTGCAGCTTAGCCCTGACTTTAGCCACTGTGTCAGGAGGGATGGAGCTGGCGTCCTTGTTCATCATCTGCTGTTGCAGACCATCCTTCCCCGGGGCAGCCAAGACACGACGGCATGTGTTATAGTTCTGGTGTAAAACCAATAATACATAAATCATAATTATAATGACATGGACAACGGCCAAATATGGGGAGTCGCCACGAAGATAAATATGTGCAGTTTCCTGCAGCCTGCATGATGACAATTCTTCTCTCCGTGTGTCTGTGTGGTGTACCATCATAATTTGTTCAGAAAGGATACTATCCTCTAAAACACTCTAGTATAGTAGGGGGGGGGGGGGGGGGGGAGAGATGGTATAGTCATGTTTTTTCCTTGATTTTCAATTAATTAATTAATTAAAATTATGGCGTGGAGATTAACATTTACTCAATGTACAGAAGTACAACAGTAGATATGTGGGTGATTTTAAAACAGTACATTGAAAACAGCAGCATCAAAGCATTTTAACATAATAAAAGACCATTGTTACATCGCAAGCACCCAGTGTGACAGAAAACTGGTCAACTTGACATGATATGTATTCAACAATGATCGAGGAATGAACTTTTCAATTACTAAGATTGTGGATAATTGACATAAATAGCATAACTTTTGATGTAAACTGATGAAGAAACGTTACCAAACTGAAATTTGGACACGTTGGATCCAAAGCCAGAATAGTGATACAAATGGTTGAGAGTCAATCTCCCAAACACAACCAAAACAATTTGCTGAGTAATGCACGTGCTACGATACCCAGATCAAGGGAACCTGGGTTGTAAGTGAAACTCTGGCTGCACTAACAGCATGCCAAAATAACAAAGATATGGATATACAAAGAACGATGTACCGTTCATTCACACTCAATCTGTTGGACAGGAGCATGGGAAGATTAACGCTTCAACAGCAAGAACAAGCTGTTGGTCTGATACACAAAGGAGCAACGCATGACCACGTCGCAAGGAGGTTTGGCTGTAGACGAATTGTAGTCAACAGGCCATATTGCTGTCGAGACTTTTTTGGGGATGACGAGACACCCCGATGAGACGGAAATTACCTCAGCCTCCTTCTCCGGATAGCCCAGCAGCAGGAGTGTCACTGTCAGGAGCTCTTTAACCAGCTGAGGCGGGTTACTTAGGGATTTTATTTCCGTGATATCACTCTTGTCGATAACTGTATCTCCGCCCTTTGACATGGTGTTGCCTTCTGTATGATCTACAACAAATAGTCGGTCAGTTGTGTACATGTCTCCTTGGTTACAACCAGAAAGTCTGCTGCTGGTGATTGCACGGTGCCAACTCAGTGGATAAATTGTTATCATGTAAGACAACGTGAACGTTCCATAATACCAAACGCGATACACAAAGTAGCATTCCGATTGCAACATGTCTATTCAGTCCATTAAAAAACGAGATATAATGGCAGAACTATTTCATTTAGTATCGTTTCTTTCCAAGTATATTTCTCCAATCACTGTAGATAATAATGATATGTTCGGATTATACAAATAGTTGAGACAATGAGACACGTGAGCTATACACATGTACATGTATCGGGAAACTGATTGCATCTCACCAGGACTGAAACATTGTCTGTCATACTGCTACAATCCCGAGTCATGTGTCAACTATCTACAAAACCAGCTAGCTCAACAGTCAATACTCTGAAAGGTAAATTAAACACCTCCACTCAATAAAGTGCGTACTCACCGGTCCTGGTGATGTAAATGTATTTGTTTAGGTCGCCGCTGTCCTGCTTTATATACTGACCGAACACTCGAGAACATTCAACACTTATTTAGGTTTGGGCTAGGAGGTAACTCCATGTTATATTATAGGATCCGTAATCCAACTGTGTTGCCTGTGTGTAGTCAAGCACGAACAATGTCATTTACCACGTAGAGCACCATATCGAGTTTAAATAATAATGCCGTGTGCCCGACCCTAACAAGTTGTGACCTCCAGCAAGGCTGCTGATTACAGTATCGTTAAAGAGAATGTACATGTTAGCGTTCTCACCTGTCCTGCCTTGCATTCAGTCTTAGTCAAGGCATTCTAGAACAATCAACACTGCTATAGGTACGAGTAAGACGATGACGTCATGTTATATTGCAGGAGCACGTCGCAGTTCTGGAAACCATACAAATTAATCCGAGATTGGCGGCCAGGTGTAGTCAGGCACGAACAATGTCATTTACCACGTACACTTCTAATTATAGAGATTCGTAAACAAAGTTGTGTGCTCGACACGCACACGCTGTGGACCTTCAGTGGGACTGTTAATCTGTTTAGATATTGTTATAGTTCAATACTTCTTTATGGGCGACAAGTCCCTGTCCCCCCTTCACCTGTTCCCCCATTCTCAAGTTGCGTTTGCTTTTGACAAATCATTCGTTTTACCCATTTGTCGGATGTAGACACGTGCTTCGTTTGAGTTGTCTTAAAAGTTACAAGTTGTTTACATGAACCGTTTTGTGCACAAGTTATCACTACTTAGACCGCCCTCAACAACAGACTTACTCTCCTCGTTTGAACCTGTTCTAAATAATCTTGTTTTAATTCTCGATCACCATGTCCTAATGTTGTACGTATCAGTTTATGGGTTTTGAGACATGAGAAATGGGGTTACAAGTTGTCTGAACTCTTAATGTAGCTGCTATTTTTTAAATTAAGTTACTGCATTTACACATGTATGCCTCTTTTGTTACTTTCATCACTGATTTTCAGTGCCCCATTCATATTATTTTGCCGCTATTTCCACTCTCACGTATAAGTCATGAGTTGAAGACATGACTGTTACCAAGATGATCTTGATGTTGCCACACTGTATTTATCTCTTTCAGGAACCCCTTGCTCAGTAACAGACAATGTTCAACACAACATTGTTTGCAAGATGTATAATATTATTTGAAGTGAAGTATGCAATATGACAGACTGACATGTGTAACAATGTAACTGAATACTGTTACCTTGTGTCAAAGCTGTTACTACCAAGATATGTGCATACACTTATACACTATATTTTTTATATTTTATTTGTATGATATTGTTTATACGAAACAGCATAATAATGTAAGTTACGTTCATTGTCGAAACAACCAAACATAATGTATTGGTAGTTTTTGTTATGACAATATTTAACTAATTGTTGAATAAATAAATAAGATAATACGTATGTCAACTATTCAATTAATTTGAGGAGCAAATGTTGCTTAGCTCAAATGGTGTGCGTCAGATATTGCTACATGTTTGTGAACATGTCATGTTGTCAAAGAACGATCTGCATGTCTCTGGTTGAAACTAAAACAACAGCAGTACCTGCACGTGAAGCATACAAACTTCAGACAAAACCACAGCAGTTGCTGTTCATGAAGCATACAGACTTCACGACAAAACCACAGCAGTACCTGTACGTGAAGCATAGACTTCACGACAAAACCACAGCAGTACCTGTACGTGAAGCATACGGACTTTACGACAAAACCGAAACAGTACCTGTACGTGAAACATACGGACTTTACGACAAAACCGAAACAGTACGTGAAGCATCTCGACAAAACCACAGCAGTACCTTTGCGTGAGGCATACAGACCTCAAGACAAAACCACATCAATACTTCTACGTGAAGCATAGAGACTTCACGACAAAACCACAGCAGTACCTCTACGTGAAGCATACATACTTTAAAACAAAACCTTCTCCTGGGAAACTATTTGACATATTGTTTTGAATGTTCAAAATGAGTTACTGTATCATTCTTTCAATGAAATTATATTTCTATTTTCAAAAAACGAAAACGATGATTAATGTGAGAACTAGGATGTTCAAATCATTGGAACATCAAGGTTTGTCTACTAAATGCTCAATGGACGTTTTCACAAGGGTTTCATCACATGAAAACCCATTACATACGTTAAGGCTTGCTTTATGACATAAGAACTTTGTTTGTCAAGAACACCCCTTCCGTGACTGTCTTCTAAACAATTCAGCATATGATATCCACCTGTCCAGGCATGCACGACTTCATAGACAACCCCCATTTAAATAGGTCAAATTTTATTTATTTTATCCGAAGCATGGTGTCTTTTACGGCGGTAGTTTTACTAGAATGTTGTTGTTTCTTCCTTTTTGAAGGGTTTAATTGTCCTTGTTATCCTTGTTGTCACATTCTTATTTAATTATTATTTTTAGTTGATGTAGACGAATGCACGATAATTCTTTTAACTAAGCTATCGCCGTATGTTTGGAAATGTAGAAATGTTTTTTTAATAAACTGAGATCCTTCCATATTTGATCATTTTCTGAAATAGACAGTGAACAAACTTAACAGGTGGACCGTGCTTACTTCATTGAACCCTTGATTGAACACGTGATTGGCAAACTTGTTCCTTGTTGTAGAAGCATTAGGCCGCGCTCTGTATGACCCGTATCACGGACCTTTTTCATACGGGGGCCTTCAGCTGAAGGGGAAACATACGAACAAATGGACACAAGCACGAGTTGTTTTATTTAATTTGGTCTTCCTTATGTTGTAAACAAACAGAAACATTCAGAGCATTCGTTCCTACTTTGTCAAACCAGTAAACTGTTGGCAAACCCAGTACTAGGGCTTACATTAATGTATTACAATCCCTTTGGTTAGAAGGCTGACTCTGTGTATCAGATGGTGGTAGGCTGCTTGGTTCTGTGTATCAGATGGTGGTAGGCTGATTGGTGCTGTGTATCAGATGGTGGTAGGCTTATTGGTTCTGTGTATCAGATGGCGGTAGGCTGCTTGGAGCTGTTTATCAGATGGCGGTAGGTTGATTGGTTTTGTGTATCAGATGGTGGTAGGTTGATTGGTTCTGTGTATCAGATGGTGGTAGGCTGAATGGTTCTGTGTATAAGATGGTGGTAGGCTGATTGGTTCTGTGTATCAGATGACGGTAGGCTTATTGGTGCTGTGTATCAGATGGTGGTAGACTTATTGGAGCTGTGTATCAGATGGTGGTCGGCTGCTTGGTTCTGTGTATCCAGCGTTCGAAATACCTGCCTGCCCGACCGTCCGAGACGGGTTGATTTCAACTCGGGCTGTCAGATTTTCAAATCCCCCTGCCCGACGGTCGGGTTATATTTCATAGGTGAAAATATTCTAAATATTTCCCGATGATAAGCATTAATTCACATGTAAAAATGAATGATAAGATGTTACCAAAAAGAAACCCCGTTAGCTTTTAGACAACCTAACATTTAGCGATGCGCTTATGCTACAAGCAAACTTTTATATTTTAAATTAAATTATCCTGAGAAACATATGATTATACTGGGCAGGCAGGTATTGGTCAGGACTGGCAAGTATTTCAGCTAGCCAGTCCTGTGGTCTGGCTGAATTTTTGGGAGTTTCATACCCTGCCTCCACTCAATAAAATCAGAAGAGAGCTATTGAAGCATTACAGCATCGTTAAAGAGAATGTGCATGTTAGCGTACTCACCGGCCCTGGTGATGTAAATGTATTTGTTTAGGTCGCCGCTGTCCTGCTTTATATACTGACCGAACACTCGAGAACATTCAACACTTATTTAGGTTTGGGCTAGGAAGTAACTCCATGTTATATTATAGGATCCGTAATCCAACTGTGTTGCATGTGTGTAGTCAAGCACGAACAATGTCATTTACCACGTAGAGCACCATATCGAGTTTAAATAATGAATGCCGTGTGCACGACACACACAAGGTGTCACCTCCAGTAAGGCTGCTGATAGGTTCACGGTTTGTTATTGTCAAGTATTTCCTCATAAACACAGATACTGTAAATCTGAAACACAACTACCCAAAGACAAACATTACTTATCGTTCTGTTCCAAATCCTATTTAGTGCCGTTACTTCTTCAGCTACCAAGCCAGCTCTAACTGGAAACCCCTTTGTCTCCAAAAGCTGACACATAATTTACGACAGGTTAAAATATAACTTGCCAAGAAGAGTTCATCGAAGATTCTGATGAATTTTTAAAATATAACAATGTGGTTATGTTTGAGGTAATTATTAAGTTATATATACTAGGCCATATACAGAGAGAAAAAGCACAGCACAAACCCTCAGCCACAATATAACAAACGTCCGTTCATCAGTTATGGCTTGATGAGTCTCGTACGTGGTTCGAGTTGAAAGCGATAGCCAATTAAAACTGCACTTCAGAAACATTTGTCTTGGCGTGAAAGTTACAGTGATGCTGACAGGCACGTTATGATTATTACAGTCCATTTTGACATTCAGTCTTCCCAGTCTTATTAAAATTCTTCGTGAATAAGCTAAGGTGCAGACCTTTACGGCCAGTCAAGTTCAGTCTTGCATAATATTAAAAGTACACAATGACAAATGTAACAACAGACGCCTTTTCAGCTAAATAAACACAATAAGTTTTTCCGGGAATACTTTGTCATTGGGAGTTATGTCCCTTGAAACAGGGGGCTGTTTCCGGTACATAAAGAAGGCTTATGATTGCAGTTATAATTTAGATTAATGCATTCTTTTAGTACATTATTGGCCTAAATGACCATGCCTACAGGGGTCACTGTGTACCATACAACAAATCACTTTGCATAAGAAAAGCATGTAAGTATAAACAGTATGATTTTATTTGGACAAGCACCATCACCCCTACACGATATAGTCGACCGTTCTGCCTGACACTGACAGCAACTCTGACATAATTTCAGTGCTTATTATGCCAGACCTCTTTGTGTAGGTTGAGGATGCAGTGATATTAGAAGTATAGCGAAACTCGAAAGCCTAATTTCAATAGAGAATTATGTATTCAATCAAATCCGCATTTAACTTTAATGACAAAATCAGTGGCAACATATAGTCGTGATCCATGGATCATCAACATCTCTGAATATATCTGAGAAAGTTACATTGATGCTGACTGGCAAGTTACGATTAAACAACCCAAATAATGACAAGCTCTATCCTCAAAATATTTGTTATATCCCTATTACTAGTATTAGTCTACATATTAATCAGTACATTAAGACGACTAACAAATTGTTCATCAACAAATTTGATAATAGCAAACGAGTTCTTTGATTTTGTCAATGAAATTACTGTATATATTGTATTTGTTAAACAACTAGAATTTGGGAACACGACTGGTTAGATAAATTTTACTGATCACAATGAAACTTATTTACAATTTGAACACACTTTTCCATCACAACATCACTTACATGACATATGGGTTTATATGAGCTATTATTGCAAAAAATTTAAATTCATCCATAGAATCTAAACACAATATGCACATATTGCTCCTTGTGTACCTTCTGAAAGAACCAACACAAATAACGTAACCAATGTTGATGGTCTAGCCCGATTATGTGACAATGTTTTAATGAATATATTTCATAATGTTTATCACTCAACACTGAAACAACCAATTAGTCTAAATCCCCACACTGTGTAATAAAATACACATCAGCTTAGATATAAGTAACTTAGTTTTCTAAAGTCATCTTTATAATGCCCTTTACCATGTTTACTCTTAGTGAGGGGAACACAGACCCAACTGTTGTATCAGAAGTAAACTGTTTGTATCAGATCAATACAGTTTTGAGTTTGGTAAGATGCAATGACAAAGTTATCTACCAGTACATATTGATATGAATTAGTATCATTTAGTTGTACATCATTCTAATTGTGATTCTTTTTTTCCAGAAAATGTGCTTCAGCCATTGAGATAATAAGTTTTACGTATCTTCTGAGGAATGTTGAACACTCAAGCAATGGAGAAAGATTATTCTGTTCAGTTCTTCTCAACTTTTATTGCAAATCTTCAGAAACTTTGCCAAGCCTATATTAAGTTTGATAGAAATATTGAAGTTAGTGGCTATGTTTGTGTTGAAATAGACAATTCTAAGAAAGAGCGTTATGTGCTAAGTGAACTTGTCCAAAACTGTGGCAGTGTTGTAAGTGAGAGTTACTGCACAAAGGTTTTCCGCACTTTGCCACCATTAGCACCAACAAGTCAGAAATCAGCATCACAGATTGATCAGGATTCCTGGTCAGTGAATACACCTGCAGACAAACCCAGGCACAAGGTATCTCAGGAACGAAGAGGCAGCATCTCTAGCAATAAATCCATTGAAAGTTTAACAGACATCCGAGAATCAGAAAATGGTTCTGTTTCCAACTATAGCTCAGATGGAGCAGAAAATCTACGAGTCAGTTCAGGGCAGAGATCAAAACGAACATCTTTTGACCAGGACAAAGAAAACAGCATTCGGATGTCCTGGGATGCTGCTCAGAGGCTGTCTCAGGAGATCCAGTCAAGGACATGTTCAGAGTCAAGTCGTAGTTGGCATCAGGTACAGAGACGAGACAGCCTCCCTAGTTTTGCTCACATATCCAACCGAGGCCGGAGCAGCAGCAGTACCAGCCTGGCAAGTCCCTCAGAGACTGTTCTAGATCTAGAGTCCGTCAAGGTGGAGGGCTCCGGCACCAGACAGTCCTGCGTTCAGGCCAAACACCAGCCCTCCAGCCCCATAGAACATGGGGAGGGATTTGGTGGAGTGGTGCCAGTTGGCATCCATGCTAATCTCTCCAATCTCGGTCATATTGTGGAGGCATTTGCAGGTATGAATTTCTCAGAAAATATGTTTATTTATAGACATTTTAAAGTCAGAGTTCGAAGTTAAATGTAGCCTGCTAGCCTTGGGCTAGTACAAATTCCTGTGGGCTAGTACAAATGTCCTAATTCCCCCTTTGTTTTAACATAACAATAGTATTTTATTTTTACCCTGGCTGGTAAAATTTGGAGTTTAGTTCTAACCCTATTATATTTTAGAGTTTGCAATATTGTGGAAACATATTAATCATATGAGTTGTTCAATTAATAGTATTTGTTACAAATTAGTACTTTAGTCATCATGATCATATGGGTTTTGTCTCATCATTGAGCATGTTAAGCTCATATTCAGTACATTTTCAAAATATTTCTTATTTCATGTGTTATCAAGTTTTCAAATTTTTAAACTTTTCCTATCTCACACTTTGCATTTCTCCCTTCTTCTTCGATCCTATGTGGGAACATGCTTGAATCATGTTTCCAGCTTCTGAAAATAAAAATAGCCACCCAAGTCCCCCTGCATCTCCATGGTTACGTCCAAAAGTATGTCAATTATGTGCCTCTCATGCACGCAGTGCCTGCTTGAACTGACAACTTTTGCGCCTCTACCAATTCATTCTCTTTCTTATTGCCACTGTGTGGCGACATGTTTGAAACATCACAAAATTGTTGTCCCTCAATAAGTTGTTGAAGTATCCTAAATAATATGGGAAAGAAGGACAATCAACGTCCTGCTTGTAAAGAATGCAGACGTACCTATTCTCCACTCATTATGTTGCGCCTGTCAGTTACAGTGCATCCTTGGTTCCCGATGTACGGAATGACATTCCCCAACCAACTTGGCTTTTACAGTTCACCTGCAACATTGTCGTCGTCGTATTGCCGATCACTGTTCCAAAGCAGGGGATTCCGAAGCTAGTACCAGCTCATCACGCCTTAAAGACAATCCTGTCGAACCTGTAGTTTCTGTCACAGACGAAACCCTCTCAGACTGCTTCCTTACAGACGATTTGCCCACTCACGACCTGTCTACCACTCACAGTTCACAGGATCGGCCTTCGTTATCATATAAAGAACATGATCATCGAAGTCATTCTCGGAGTCGTTCCAGTTTGGCGCACAGATTGCCCGATCGTTGTCCTTCTAGGTCAGCTCCTCCCAACCCTTTTCCACCTATCCTACCCACGAGTTGGGATCACAGGGATCAATTGTGAAAGCAATATTCACTGTCCTCCTTTACTGTTCGGATCCTTCATTGACTCCTCAACCTACTGATCCTGTTTCGGTTGCCTCCCGCTCGACCCCTCCCGGATCGGGTGGTTCAGCTTCTACTTCGGGCGATCATGGTATCCAGGCTCAACCAACTGACAGTTCACATCCGTCAGGTGTTCTTGACGATCCCTCATCAACGCCTTCCTCGGTTGGGAGTTTTGAACCGGCGGACCCAGAATCGTTCATGCATTGGATAGCTGACGACTTCAGCTGCGGAGAGGTTCTCCGGATTCGCAGTTCCATCGGCTAGTTCGTCCAAGATCACGCTCCCTCCCAGACTGGTCTTACTGGACATTAACTTTAACCTAGATACGGCCTTTTGCGTCCTTTCGTCAATTACGGGATCGTCTCCATATCCCCCGCTTCACTTCATCCTTGAAGACACAGGCACTCATGGCATGTCTACTACGGTCACCTCCCCCGAGATTGACAGTGACGTTTCTACTCTACAACTTGGATACCACAGTCCGCCGTACCCTCCCACTTGTGTCTACTATTTTGTCAGCCATGGACGCACTCTCCGTCTCTCTCTCCGCTCATTCCCAAGAAGATGCCATTACTCGGGGCTTAATCAAAAGACATTTGGAGGATCAACAGAAAAAAGGATTGCCAATATCCCCAGTCTGTTCCTGCCCAGTCGATTTACGTGAGCTTATTTCTTCCCAGCCTAATCCCTTTCGGGGGGGCAGCAGAGGTCGAAGAGGTCAAAGGGGCTCGAAGCCCTCCTCGGGTCGATTTGGCTCCTTTACCGGACCCAAGGGCGCTGGCGAACCTTCCCAAGGGGGAGGTTCGGCAGGAACTTGACTCCTTTTCAAATCGGCACTGGGCACTTCCTCCCCCAGCCGTTCCCTTTACAGCCATACCCGTAGGCGGAAGACTCAAGATCTTTGCAAGCAATTGGACCTTGCTTGCAGACCCCTTCGTGACACAGCCGCTTCAACAAGGGTATCGATTACCGATGATCGCACCGCCACCTACGACGTTCCATCCCCATCAGAGGATATACCCGGCCAGGCAGCTACCAACATTGATCCACACTGTAGGTACGTTACTAGCAAAGAACGCTATCGAATGTCACGGCGCACTTCCCGCGACTCCTGGGTTTTATTATCCCATTTTTCCTGTCCCCCAAAAGGGCAGTTTAAAACTACGGCTCATTTTCAGCATGACGACTTTCAACGCTATGTATGTCGAAACCCCACATCCTTTGTACGCTTATTCGTCCCGGCGATTATATGGTCAGTCTCGATCTCCAAGACGCTTATCTGCACGTTCCCATCCATCGGGAGCACCATCACTTCCTCCGGTTCGTTTTAAAGACCACCATTACCAATGGAAGGTGCTCCTGGTTGGAATTTCTTCGGCCCCGTGGCTTTTTACCCGCCTCACCCGACCCATCACGAAGTTCCTACATCTTCCCGGGATCGTGTTCGATTCTTGTCTAGACGACTGCATTCAAGTTCACGCAGATGCCGTTTTTCCCCGTCTACAACTCGCCTTCGCAATGCGTCTTCTCAGACAACTCAGCTGGCTTATCAACAAACGTCGGAACTCATTCCTACCCAACGTTTCCAATTCATAGGAGTCCTGTTCGACACTCGGCAAGGTCTGATGTTCGTTCCCCACGAGTGGTAGGTGAAGATTCAACGTCTCATACCGTTAGCACTCAAACATCCGCTTCAACTGCGCCAGTGGCAACAACTCCTGGGCCTCCTAACATCGGCGCAGGCGATTGTCACACGTCAATCTCTCTTTCGCTCAATCTCCACCCTCATCTTCAATGGTGGCTGTTCGCGTTGAACATTTGCGACAGGGTCTCCTTGACGCCATTCGTCCCATCCCTCCATCTGTTCATCGACGCTTCAACCATCAGTTGGGGAGCACATTTTCAAGATGTGGCGGTGGTCTGACGTAGAACATTGCCTTCACATCAACAATCTCGAGTTCAAGGCAGAAATTCTCGTGATTTCACATTTGTATAACCTCCTCCGGTCCTCCTCCCTCATGATCCAGTCCGACAACACGGCAGTAGTGTGGTCCATTAATAGGATGGGATCCACGAAGTCGATGTCCCTACTCTCACTTGCTCTCAAGTTCTTTCATCTCATCAACTCCACAATGAACATGTCTGCCCTCGGCACATTCCGGGGATATCCAACGTCATAGCAGACTCCATGTCCCGACCAGACAGACCATCACCAACCGAGTGGTCTCTTCATCCACAATCGTTCCAATGGATTTGCCAACTTTATAGGGCCCCGGAAGTAGACCTCTTCGCCACCCACTTCAATGCTCAACAATCCCAATTCGTATCTCCCATCCCCGACCCTCTGGCTTGGGAGGATGACCATTTGGCAATCTTGTGGGAAGGTCTCAATGCCTACGCCTTTCCCACGACAGGGCTCCTTCCCCGGGTCCTACAGAAGGTAGCAGCCACAAATCACCTGTCTCTGATTTTCGTCGCACCCAATTGGCCAACGCGCAACTGGTTCCCCACCTTGCTACGGCTCACGGACGAATGATTTCATCCTCTTCCGCTCTGCGACGACCTCCTCATTCAACTGCACTTTCGATGGCTCCATCAGTCTCTTACAATGCTCCATCTTTGCGTTTGGCGCATCTGCAGAAGTCCCTCATAGCAAAAGGTTACTCCCAGCAGGTAGCGAACCCCATCTCTGCTGCCCACCGTGCTTCCACCAGGCGCCTTTATGACCACAAGTGGACGGCTTTTGAGACTTATTGTCGCGCTCATGATATTTCCACTCCTACCTCGGTTTCAGCTTAACAAATTGCCGAATACTTACATCACCTGCGTTGGACTCGGAAACTTCAGGGGTCCACGTTGGGAACCTACCTCGCGGCTATTAACTCCGTCATCGCCACCACTTCCGGTGCGAAGGTTTCCACGGTTACAGAGCTACAATCTCTCTTCCGTTCCTACAAATTAGCCGACCAAGCTGCTCATTTTCGGCCTCCTTCGTGGGACCTAAGCGTTATTCTTCAACACCTGGTTTCCGGTGATTACAAACCACCGACGGAGTAGGATTTCGAGACAGTTATGCCGAAGACCGTTTTTTTGTTGACTTTTTCCACCACTGCACGGGTTAGCGAAATTCATGCTTTGGATGTCACAAGGGTCCAATTTGAAGTGGCAGGCGTTCCAGGGGCTTCGTGGCAAAGAACCAACATCCCGGACAACCGGACAGGCTATTTACGATTCCCCCTCTCTCGGTTATTTTGGGATCTAACAACCACGAAGACATGTCTTTGTGCCCAGTTCGGGTGCTTCGAATATACCTCGATGCATTTCGCCAACATAGACGTTCCCAGAAAAGACTTTTCTTCCCATTGTCAACCGCCTCTACATTGGATCACGTTCGACGCTATCCTTCTGGCTCTGCCCCATCATTCTGCAAGCATATACTTTCGCCGGGCTGCCTCCAACTACAACGTCCAATCCTCACGAGACTCATGCGGTTGTTTCTACCATGGCCCTCCACAGTAACTGGGCCCTTTCAACCATCATGGAAGGGTGCTTTTGGAAGTCCGACACTGTTTTCGTGCCTCACTACCTTTGCGACATTTCAGTCACAGATGTACAACATCTTCCCAAAGCAAGGGAGTTAACTGACTATAAAGTTCCAGTTTCCACCCTTGCCGATCTAGGCTGGGATTATGGAGTTAGATTTTGGCTAGACTAATGAGTCTATGCATAGTCCAATCAAAATCGCGAACCGAAATCGAAATCCGAAGTGACCAATCGGTGCGGCCGATCATATACATTCAGTCACAATCGTACAAGGGCTCAACAAGTTTGGTTCGTTGGTGTTGGCACAACAACTGTCTCGCTCCAGTTCACACAGAACATAAACTGTTAATACTACGTAATCCTTGCAGGTTACAATTGTATATACAGAATAAATCGTTAAACATTTACGTGGTGTTACATGTTTTTTATTTTTCGAGTTCCCAGATTGAGTCCCTTTTGGAGGGTGGATTAGCTCATCTGTAGAGACATTTTAGTCATAATTTACGAAGTCACCATTCGGTGCGGCCAATCAAAAACAAAACAAAAACAAAAACAACAACTACAAAAGATCGGTGTCCCGAACCTTTATTCCGCTCACCTCTGCCTCAGGTATCTGTGATGTAGGGTTTTGGTTTGAAGGTCCATTGCTATGGAATATTGTCGATCGTTCCTCTTCTCGTTTTGGTTTGCTTCATACACTTGTATGTGTTTTATAACCATGACAAAGCGTTAAAAGAGTTACCAAACCTTGCACACTCTATGGTCCGTGGGAGAAAGTTGCTGTGTTTTGTTTGAAGAATCGATGCCCATCCAGGATCGATTTTAAGTCGTCTGCTGTTTTACAGCTACGCGGTCGTTCTATATGTATGATGACATACTGGAAAAAATGTTCGGCATGTATACCCGATCTCATGCTCTTTTGTTTGAGTAACGTATCGGGATCGTTAACACCGGTTGATCGTGGGTTTTTTTCCCGCTCACAAGTTCATGTCTTTTAGATGCCAGACAGTTTTCAAAATTCTAAAACAAATTCAAAATTACACTGTCTAGGCCCAGCTTCCTCGTGCATATCTCACGGTTGGAGTCTTGGCTTGGGTATCTGCGGCCCACCATCCAACCATGGGATAAAATGCAAAGTGTGATATAATTTTTGTATAAATTGTATATTTATATACTTATCTACCTGATATAATTTTTGTATAAATTGTATATTTATATACTTACCTACCTTTTGGACGTAACCATGGAGATGCAGGGGGGGCTTGGGTGTCTATTTTTATTTTCAGAAGCTGGAAACATGATTCAAGCATGTTCCCACATAGGATCGAAGAAGAAGGGAGAAATACAAAGTGTGAGATAGGATAAGTATATAAATATACAATTTATACTAAAATTTCCAATATTTCTTTATTGCATTGTTACCTTTAGCATCATCATTTTTCTCTCCTGCAAATTGCTTTTTTAGACTTTGTAAATATGATGAAGAAGACAGAACTTGGTCTGGCCTTACCATTTGTATATTGTCTGTCACAATGTCTCATCATCTTTTATGTATTTGCTTAATTGGTAATATTTCTAATTTCAAGCATCAAGATCAGCAATAGCTCAACCCGCCCACAGTTCTGAAGACAGATTCTCGCGCCCCAGTGTCTCAGTCTCTCAAGCAAGCCACTCTCCTGCTGTTCACTCCCAAGTCCCAACAGACATCTCGTCGGGGAGGAGTCGCGGGCCGTCTCTCGCCGCCAGTCGTAGTCAGCAGGAGGTGTTCATGCAGATGTTGCCTCAAGGCTATGGTCAGTCCAGCAGCAGACACTCGGTACAGATGGTGCAGGCAGCAGACAGGCAGCACAAACTAGAGGCCTCACTTGGGGACTGTCCCGAAGATGTCATAGACCTGGACATCGATGATATGGACACTGACCATACTGATAGCTCTATTGCTGATGTCAATGCAAGTCTCACATTGTCGGGGATTGACCAGAGTGTTTTGTCTGAGTATATGACATCTTCAGTTCAGGTGACAGATATTCAAAGAAAGAGGAACGCTCAGCTGAACTGCCAGAGATACGCTTTGAGGCTGTTCTGTGAATTTCACCAAAGTAAATCAGGTTCTATGTCTTCCTTGGACACCATCCCTCAGGAACAACTCGACGTTATGCTTAGTGACTTCTATGCAACATCTAAGAAAGGAAATGGAGAGGACTTCACTGTCAGTTCCCTTAGAAGTATCCAATACTACCTGGAGTCTCATCTGTTTGAGAACTTCATCTTGTCAGGGTCAAGGGCGGTGGTATTCAAGAACTCACGTCAAGCATTACGGAAAAGATGCGAAGAGTTGCGAGTCAAACAGAAGTCTTCACCTATCAACAAACGTAATATGACTTCTTCGGACATAGACCTCCTGTTTGAAAAAGGGCAGCTAGGAGCAGCCACTCCTGATGTTCTGCTCAACACTCTGTGGTTGATGAATGTCATGTGTTTCGGAATCAAAGGCAGCGAACATTTCTCTCTTCGATGGGGAGACATCATTCTTAACACTGACAAAGAAGGAAGACAGTTCCTGGAATATGCAGGATCTGGAACTTCCGGGCAGCCAATCCATTGTCTCCGAGTGTATTCACTCCCTCATAATCAGTCCCGATGCTGTGTTCACTTTTTCAAGCAATACCTAAGCCATCGTCCTGCAATAGCCCTTCAGCCAGATGACCCATTCTACCTCGCCATCAACAACCAGTATGAGAGGGTCGGGTCTTGGTATGTGAAGGAGAAACTGTCCATGAGCAGACTGTCCTCCACATGGAGGAATATACTGTTTGCAGCAGGACTACCTTCAGAGAGGAAGCCACCGGTTGGCTACCAGACAGGACTCTTCCTCCAGGCAGCACAGATCCCTGTGCCACTCAGTCGGCACATGGACAGAACAGCACCAGAGGGGGCTGCTGCTGCCTCCAAGTAATGATTGCATACTGCTGAACACCTATACGTCTTAGATCAAACGGAGATACAGATACTGAAATAGTGGGGGGTAGAAAGATAACTATTTTTGTAACATGCATCATCAAGACCCAGGGATGACATCCAGCTGCTTCCATGGCAAGTCATGTGAAAAATTGTTTGAAAATGTATTTTGGGCAATATATCATGTTTTTAGTTCACCTGACTGAACATGCTGAAAGTCAAGTGAGCTTATGTCGTGGCATATTGTTCATTCATCTCTCCTTCACTTGGCTATTTCAACATCACCTTGGAAACTGCAAGGCTGAAACTTCACATTGATCAGTAGTTTGTCTGGTCTGGACTGCATTTGGCATCATACTGTAGCTAAGGTCGGTGTTGAACAACAAGCATAAATTTCATATCTGACTTTCAAACATGGCCACCATAGCAGCCATATTGAGAATTTTACTTTTTGCCAATTTCTACGAGTGTTATTGTCTAGATTATAAAATTTGATACATGATTAGCTATGGGTATTTTGATATTTGATTCAGCTACAGGTCATAACAGCCATATTGAACATTTCCTTTTAGTCCATTTCTGAGCCTTTTCTGCATGAAACATTATAACATTTGCAATGGATTAAGTAAGTACTATCCACACTAACATGTTACGTGCATGTGTTAATGTGTAAATTGATTCAGAGAAGATGCTTTTAGGATGTCTGTTGTGAAGAAATATTTATTTCTTTAACTTATTCTTCTTCACCCCTGAAGACTTTTCTGCTTTAATATAATATTCCAGAAGATTACAGGTGAGCTTCAGAGCCTTATGGCTCTAATTTCAATTTTTTATAACATTTTCATGAAAATTGTAGTTCGTCTTCTTCATGTTAATATTTGTATCACTGTTTGCAGTGTTGTAACCAAATGGTTCATATTGCTGTGTTGGCATTTCTACTATCTTATTTGTGTGTAATTGTCATCATGATATGCACAATGATCATATCAAATGTTGTGTTTTCTTTGTTTTGTAACAAGCTCCATCATCATGAATATCATCATCCACATTATCATCAATCATCAACATCATCATCAACATCAACATCAACATCATCAATCGTCATAGGCAACAAGAACATTACACTACCCCTTACTTAGAAATTGGGACATTTTGAGACTGACAATTCACTTACATCTCATATATATATTGTATATTGAAGCACAGGGCTACACTGCAGACATTGTCAGGTTTATAGTTGGTTGAAATGGCCAGCACATGTTGAGATGAGTTGTTTCTCCAGAGTTGTGACTGGACACATCTCTACATGTTGAGTACATGTGTGTAAGTATAACTCACTGTGTACGGGAAATTTGTAAGAGTTTAAGAGTTTGTAGTAATATTGAAAGTGTGCTTCAGGTGACACCGTGAGAGCACAACAAATTCAATCCTTTAGGATTGACTCCACTAAGTGGGAATATTGTTTGATTCGTCTTCGAATAAAATTAAAAAGAAATGTTTCTTTTCAGCTTTTCGTTATGAAGCAATATACTTTTCACTGTAGCAGGTGACTGTATGAGAGTCAAATCCCTTTTATAAAACACAAATTAATAATTCAAAAGGCCTGCAGGATAAATTGTTAAATGTTAATTTTATGTTATTAATGACATGTATGATGTTAGTGATTTCTGTAATGCAACTGTTGTGGTAGTGTGTATTCATGTCCTGTCAAGGGCAGCATCCAGATGGTACAGTTGTAATCATGTGAACACATTCGATGGTATGGGTGTGAAATGTATCCACAAGTTTTGAACACGTTTGGAGGTATTTGTCTTTTTTAACAGCTCACTTTTTTCGATTTGACTAATGTTTTGATGTATTAAGTGCAGTTCGCATAGAATGTTCTGGACAATATGTTTCTTATACGTACAAAAAACAATAGTCAAAAAGATCTTATCTAAATTACAAAAGACTGGTGTAAGTCCTATAATTGAATCAGTCATGATAAGAGTGGTGTCGGTGTTGACAAAGAGGGCCTGACTGATACAGCCACTACAATATGAACTGATGTCCTGGGGCCCAGCTTCCATCTGGCTGCTGTGTGTTGAATGACTGTGAATCTTGTGTCAGCTGAATCAAACCTCACCTGTACTGAATAATGCCTGAGAACCAAGCAGGCTTTCACCTATCTGTAAGATTTGTTGTTCTTTTCACTTAGTACTTTCCACAACAGAATGGACGGCAATCTGTGTAAGAGCCTTTGACACTCCAGATAATTGTTCCTCATATGAAGGTAAAATTTCTTCTTCTTTTGGAGTATATTGTTACTTCAGAGGTGGATCCAGGACGTTAAAACGGAGATGTTCCACTTGGGCTGTTTGTAACTTCTGTGGGGTGTGCGTGTGTGCCACCCACTTTATGTAAACCAATAATAATTATGTTTTAACAACCAAATCAACATGTTATCATGGTAGGCAATGGGCATAGAAAATGTCATCAGATGTTAAAAAAGGGAATGTGCCACTGTACTTCTTAATGCCATGACAGTATATGAGCACATGGAACAGGAGTATACTGGTGTATGAAGTTCAGAAGGTGTTTGGTTTTTCTGAGTTTATGGATCCACCAACATAAACATAAAGGTCTGTTAAAATGGTTAATGATATACAACCAAATGTAAGTGCAGACTGATAGAATGCGACACTCTATACAGCAAGCTTCCTTCACTAGAATTCTTTGATTTGTCATTTTGACCATACTTCAAAAATTATTTTTTACAGTTATGTTTTTATTATATGACCATGCTAATCAAATGATTTTGAAATGTAATTAAGTCTTTATATCTTATTCTTTGGTAAATTCTCCTAATACTTTGCAGAAATGTTCCTATGTACCTCTTGAGCCAGTGACGATTAGACAAAGGTTCTTGTTGGCGCTTAGTTGTATGTAATGCTGATCTGTGATCAATGGAATGCAGATTCAAAGATGTGCAACTGATCATGTACTCTGAACATAGAAATGATGTGTGTATAATCATGCTTCTTGGTCATGATGTAATTCCTTATTTATTCTTTATATCATATATATTATATATTTTTTGTGCTTTATAGATGGGGTCAATCAATTCCCCACGATATGATGTAGAATAAGACATTCTGTATACATGGGTTTCAGACACAAGTTGTATATTGGTAATGCTCAGAGTGTAGGAGCATACACAGATTTTGAATTAAATGATTGGATGGCATGTCTTCATAAGGAAAGACAACTGAATAATTTGGGGCTAAGAAACAAAGATTGTTTGAATATATTGATATATTGTGTTTTGTTATTTCAAGTGCACCCCACTTTAGAAACAGCTGTGTCTGTGTTTGCAGGATAGTGTAAGTGGCCAAGTTGCCTTGGTCACTGAAAGCAAATGTACAGAGTTACATCCCTTAGCTGCCAGGATCTGCTGGTCCAATCCCAGATTCAGCCTGAGGGTCATCCTTGGTCATACTCTCATACTCATTCTACGCAATTCCACTGTGGTAAACATGTGCAGGCTGCATGACACAACAGGCTTTCCTCCCACATGTCTCTCAGTGGTATTAATGCTGGAATATTGCTAAAAGCGGCGTAAAACCATACTCACTCACTCACTCACTAATGCACTGTGACCAAATGCAATAAGAAAAACTCATGTCTGATTTGAAATCCTGAGAAAAACATGTTTTAGATCAATAACTTTGATAACTCTTAAGTTGGGGTTTTAAATATTTTATACAATTTCCAATCTTTCATCAGAAAGTTTTATGCTGATTTGTTACATGCTTTTTTCCTATTCATATAATTTATATGTGTATTAAATGTGTTATACAGTTTGTTAGTTATATCATATCTGTTGCATTTATTATCCTGTACAAGTAGCAAACATTTATATAGTGTCACAGGGAGACATTTACTCCACAATGACAGAGGAAAAAGTTCATAACAAATATATATTGAATATTGAAGAGTTCGTATCCAAATTTGCTGTTTTTGTTTTGCCCATCTTTAATGTTGGTTATTGCACTGTGATGAATTTGTTATGTGTTGCCTTGTGTGCGTTACTTAATACAATGTTGGCCTCTATGTAGAGACATCTGGGGGATCTTCATAAGGCACATATGTATAGAAACATCATTGCAGTGGAGTCCGTCCAAATTGGACTTTTCTCCGGTTCCCTCAGTTCTTAAATAAATTATCATTACTGAAACTGACCTACAACTCTCTAATTCAGACTTTTTATACTTTGGACTAGAATTAAGCCCCCAATAACCAATTTACTATTGAAAAGAAGCTGTCTAAATCAGACTGGACCAGACCAGACTGCATATTCTCTCACTTTGAAGTAAGCTCAATCATTGTCAGCTGAAACAACATTGCTAATTAGCCAAGTCATCCTACTGATCTGAACACTTTGTTGTCCGCTTGGTTAATTAGAATTTACTCACTTGTTAATGAGAAACTCAGTTTAATTAGAGTATCTCAGTGTCATGAGTGTGACAATAAATAACGTTAAACACAGCTTGACATTTTGCTTGCAAGTCTGGCATCAGTAGGCAGATTGTCTCTTCAGTCCAACTTTTGTTCTCTGTGTAATCTGGACCTTGCCTTAAACCGGACTTTTTTACCGGTCCCAGCTGAGTCAAAATTGGACAGATTCCAATGTACTGAAGAAAATAGCGTTCACATAAGAACATGCTCCAAATCCTATTAATCGTACTGATCTCAAGGATAGCAGAGGGTTCTGTAGCTTCAGACAGTGAATGTATCCAATAGTTCTCATAGTAAAGGATTCTATTGGTTCAGATAGTAAAGGATTCTATTTGTTCAGATATTAAAGGATTTTATTGGATCAGATATTAAAGGGTTCAATGTGTTCAGATATACATTTACATTTCTGCCGTGATGTAGACAATCTGTGAGTGATTAGAGACCTGTCATTGAACGAGGTCCTACATATCTTGCATATATTTCTTTTTTCTTGTTTCTTCATGTATGGAGACCAATTTCAGTTGTTTGTGATAAGTGCATGTCTGTTTAAACAATCTGCCTGTAAAAGATGATGAGGATAACGCACAAGCTATTGGACATTCGATACAAATAATGTACGCGCCAGCAAAGCCTTTCTAAGGACACACCATGCTTTGACCTAACAGTGAAAACAACATGGAAATAATCTAGTTGTTTAGGATCCTTAAGAGCAATTCACTTATTACACTAAACTGCCAGGCAAAAGAAAGTGTCCGTGGTTGATCCAGGGGTTCTTGGGAGGGCCACCTCCCCTGTTCACATCTGATGACATTAGTGTGCGCATTGCCCACCATGATAACATGTGGTTGTTAAAGTAAAACTAATAATGGTTTACATACAGTGTGTGTGATGTTTTGGGTAGGCTTCTGGGTGGACTCACACCCCACCCACCCCAAGTTACAAATGGCCCAAGTGGAACAACCCCTATTTTAGAATCCTGGACCCGTTCCTGAAAATAAACCCATCTTTGATGGTGGGTAAAAATAAAACTAAGAAAAAATGTTTTTGATGGTGGTGTATTTGAAACAGCTGTCATAGTTGTGTTTTGGACTGTTTTCAGCCCAGTTATGTTTTGATAATGTTTGTAATTGTTTGGTCAAATTCTGTTTTCAAGGATATACTAACTTCCTTTTGGCCGGCAGCATATGTTTGTCTAGTCCTTCAGCCCAATATTTGTACATTGTACAGTTAACTCTAAACACATTTCATTGCACTTTTATTAAGCTTTACTTATGTTATTAACTAAAATAATTAGTAATATCTATAAGATGCTATCTTGTTCCTTCGTTGAATTCTCTTCTACCTCTGACTCTCATTCATGTCCTATTCTCTGAACAACTATTGATGTATTGTGTGGTTATCACCATGTTTGATCATTATTAGTGTGAACTGTCCCATTGAATGTTGATTCTTTTCATTTCACAAATGTAATTTATTCACCGAAAACATATATCCATTTTCTGCCAGTATACCCTATATTTTAACTAGTCATAGCATTTTCTATGGTAGTTTAATCTGATGAGTTTATTCTCCAACATAATTTACAACCGTGTGAACTGTTAACATCAGTGAATTTGTTTACTTTGATGTAAATAAAAAGAGAGATCAAATTACTTGTAGTTGTGTTGGTTTTAAGATCAGATCAATGACCTAACACATGGGAACATGACACAATCAGCACTCAGTAGCGATTCCAGGACAGACTCGACATCAGTTCATATGTGCCATCACCTGTCTTGGCTTTCCAAAACTACATTCAGTGTAGTATCCCTTCTGATGGTATACCAAGAGATTCACAATGCATCAAAGTGATTAGTAATCACCTATTTCAACACAAATTATTGAATTACCTGTAACATCGCACCAAACCCATGACCTGACTGTCTTAGTTTAGCATCGAGCCTGACCCATAACCTGATAGTCTCAGTGTAACTAAGGTTGACTGTGTTCGTGTTGCATCATACCTGAGCTTTGACCAGGAAGTCCTAATCTAGAGAAGCATCATTCCAGAACCTTGCCCTGTCCTTGAACATCGTACCTAACCTGGCTGTCTTAGTGTAGCATCGTACCTGGACTTTGACCAAGCTCTCCTAATCTAGAGAAGCATCATTCCAGAACCTTGCCAAGTCCCTGAACATCGTACCCGAACCTGACTGTCTTAGTGTAGCGCTGTACTTAAACCATGTCCTGAATGGAATTGTGTGGCATCGTATAGGAAGCATGGGCTGGTTATGTTATTTAAGCATTGTCCTGAACCATGCCTGTCTGTCTTAGTGTATCTCCGTACCCAAACCGTTGTCAAGCTGTCTAAATGCAGCATTGTACCGGAAGCTTTGCCTGAGTGTGCCCATGTACTCAAACCATGTCCTAACTGCACAGGTATCACATTGTACTGGGAAATAATGTGGCTGTCTTAGTGTAGCATCTTACCCGAAGTAGGACCTGTCTGTCTCATTGCAGCATCGTACCTGAAGTAGGACCTGTCTGTCATAGTGTAGCATCTTACCCGAAGTAGGACCTGTCTGTCTCATTGCAGCATCGTACCTGAAGTAGGACCTGTCTGTCATAGTGTAGCATCTTACTCGAAGTAGGACCTGTCTGTCTTAGTGTAGCTGTGTTAGTGCAGCATCGTAATCAGACCATGACCTGGCCGTGCTAGTGCAGCATCACACCTGAAGAGGGGACCTGTCTGTCTTATTGAAGCATCGTACCCGAAGTAGGACCTGTCTGTCTTAGTGTAGCTGTGTTAGTGCAGCATCGTACTCAGACCATGACCTGGCCGTGCTAGTGCAGCATCACACCTGAAGAGGGGACCTGTGTGTCTTAGTGAAGCATCGTACCCAAAGTAGGACCTGTCTGTCTTAGTGCAGCATTGTACCCGAAGTAGGACTTGTCTGTCTTAGTGCAGCATTGTACCCGAAGTAGGACCTGTCTGTCTTAGTGTAGCTGTGTTCGTGCAACATCGTACTCAGACTATGACCTGGCTGTCTAGGTGCAGCATCACACCCAAAGTAGGACCTGTCTGTCTTAGTGCAGCATCGTACCCGAAGTAGGACCTGTCTGTCTTAGTGTAGCTGTGTTCGTGCAACATCGTACTCAGACTATGACCTGGCTGTCTAGGTGCAGCATCACACCCAAAGTAGGACCTGTCTGTCTTAGTGCAGCATCGTACCCGAAGTAGGACCTGTCTGTCTTAGTGTAGCTGTGTTAGTGCAGCATCGTACTCAGACTGTGACCTGTCTGTCTAAGTGCAGCATCGTACCCGAAGTAGGACCTGTCTGTCTTAGTGTAGCTGTTAGTGCAACATCGTACCCGAAGTAGGACCTGTCTGTCTTAGTGTAGCTGTGTTGGTGCAGCATCGTTCTCGGACTATGACCTGGCAATGCTTGTCCAGCAATCGGACCTGACTTTGACAAGAATGTCTAAGTACAGCATCGTACCGCCTTTCCTATTGTGTAATGTATATAATATATCCGACATACATACTCCCTCACCTTCCAATTTAAGTGATGTATATAACATGTCCGAAATATATATTCCCTGGCCTTTCATTCTGAGTGATGTATATAATATATCTGATATATATACTCCCCTCGCCTTTCAATTTAAGTATTTTGTTTCATACAGAGACAACTGTCCTCGGTGACAAAAATTAAATATTTAGGTAACACTTTACTTTACGTCCTGCCAGCAGGGAATTTCAGCTTATTGGAGGCACTGTAGGTGATGCATCATAGTTCAGGCATCTCGAACTAGGCTCGACCATCCACTGTTGATCATTTCTTGTCTAACTCTCTGCATGATTAGCATCACGTGTGAAATTGAGACATTGCCTTTGTGTAATTAGAGCATGGACACTTAATACACCTGGGGTCCATGACTAGAGCAGTCCTTGTGGAAATCATTGAAGCCAGTGAATCCAAGGACTCGTTTGAGTGACACCTATAACACAAGGGTTCCCTCTCATGCATTGCGTCACAGTGCCTTCTGAAACAAGGCGTTATGGTATGACTGCTTCCTGATGGCAAAGATGACCTCACGATTTCATTATCCAAGTCTTTCAATACACCAAAGATGAATATAGATCTATATACGTCTTTGATTACACTGACCAGTGTGAACTGTCTTCATCGTATACTCCTATACCTACTACAAATGGTACGGGAATCATTAAGGGTCGTGATTGCACGGGAAATGTAAGACTGATATGCTGATATGATGGGGTAGATATATGAATAGGAACGCGCTTCTAAAATGATTTATCCTCCAAAACGTAAACCTTCTATATTGTCCATAGCCACATCACAGACAGATCTCTGCACAAACGAATCCTTTGTAGAAACCACTGTTGGGAGATCATCCTGGTGAGGAAAAGGCAAGGAAACAAGGACAATCCCAGAATTAACAGCCAATTGTAAAAAAGCGGTTTCAACCCGGTTGCACAAGTTATAACCTTACTACAGCCTAATGAATGATGAGATCATGGATAACAGTGTCGGTGTCCCTACGTCATAGACACACATTTCTTACACAATTCTCATGAAGCCATTTACTGTGGTATACAAACCATCCTCCCCGTGAACATCCAGGTTAGAAAAGGTCTTCAGCAACCCACTCCTGCTGTAAGAGGCGATTAACGGGATCGGGTGGTCAGGATGGCCGACTTGGTTGATGCATGTCATCGTGTCCCAATTGTGTTGATCGATGCTCATGATGTCAGTTACATGATTGTCTGGTCCATACTATGACCTGGCAATGCTTGTCCAGCATCGTATATGTCGTCATAAAACTGTAATATTGATGGGAGCATATGTCATGCAATCAACCACAAAAACGTATAAATAAAGTAATTTTTTTAGCGCAATCTTCGATCTATTAACTTATTGGAAAGTCAGTTGAAGTCCTGGTTACTATGGAAACACCTCCCAAACTCATTTTGTCCGACACTTGTCATCTTGGTAACATTGGATTTGATAACGTTCTGAACACATCTGTTTGTTGATACACCACAATAAATGAGAACATATTAAACCTTAGTCCAGATTAGCTACAAAATCGATGAATATGACCTTGACCTTGGACCTTGAATATATTTATCCACACAGATTGATGACGTAGAGTGCAGGATAACATGAATACTCCTAATCATCTTTGAAAAACAATGATTAGTTAAAGAATGAGAAGATATACTGCATTTCTTTGCTGCAATTGAAAGTGCATGGTAACCATGGGAACGCCAAAAATGTCACGAGTCCTAATTATCATTTACCCTTAAAAAGATTCCAAGGTTGCCAAGAATACCAAATTCATCTTGCTGTACCTCAGCTGTACCTGTAGACCAGTTCCAAAGTTTGACACCAGAAAGCACGGTCTGCTGGTCGCGTCATGCGAAAAGACGATAACAGATGGAAGTTATCGGCTCGCAGAGAACCCTGGGTAACTAACTCTATAGAGAGATGTGTTATATAAATATGGCTTTGGATACATGTGGATACATGCAAACTCCTACACAACCCTCCACATTACATGCCTCCCCTATGGAAACTCAAACAGGTAAACCTAATCTAACCGATGACGAAGATTTCTCCACTACTTAGGAAACAATAGACACTACTCCAACTAAAACAAACCAAACTTCCCTCTCAGCTCCAAAAAGGAAAAAAAAACTAAACCGCAAAACTCCCCAAAGAGCCAACACCCAAAACCTAAATAACCTCACCTTACTCCTAGCATACATGCATAGTCAAAACTCACCAAAAGCTAGCATGAAATCCTTCCACAAAGTAGCTTTCAATCTAAAATTAACCAATCTTCCCTTCTTCCTCTTTAACCTCCACCTAAAAGAAGTCACCAAATAAAATAAAAACTTAAAACTAAATCACAATGTGACAAACCACCCAAACCCAATAATGGAAGGACTAAATATTTTTCAGCGGAACGCCAACGGACTCACCTCCCACGGCCATGAACTAAAAACTTAATTTAAACTAAATAAAGGCCCTCGCATTGCTTGTATTCAGGAAACCAAATTCTCAAAAAAATCCAAATTCACACTACCTAACTACAACTCAGTTAGAACTGACAGTGAGTGAGTGAGTGAGTGAGTGAGTTTGGTTTTACGCCGCTTTTAGCAATATTCCAGAAATATCACGGCGGGGGACACCAGAAATGGGCTTCACACATTGTACCCATGTCGGGAATCGAACCCGGGTCTTCGGCGTGACGAGCGACCGCTTTAACCACTAGGCTACCCGACCGCCCCTAGAACTGACAGAGCTAAACCAAAAACAAGAAGAGCCGCAGGAGGACCAATCATATTTATCAGGGAAGATATAAATTACGAAGAAATAAAAATAGACACGCCAAACCTAGAAGCCAACGGCATTAAAATCACATTAAATAACCGGAAAAAAACCATCATAAATATATACCACTGGGCGGAACAAAAAGTCCAACCTGAGGATCTAAACAAACTACTCCAAATAAGCGATAAATCTACTATATTCATAGGTGACATTAACGCCCACCATCCTACATGGAGCATAGATGATAAAAATAGATAATCATGGCAAATTAATTTCCGAATGGATAGAAACAAACGACCTAGTAC